GATTTTAAATGGAGCCTGTAGTTATCTAAAGTTTAAGGTTTTGAACCTTTTAAACCTAAAGTTTAGGTTTTTGAATCTTTTAAACCTAAATGATATAATACAAATGAAGCTCAGCTGAGCTTCATTTGTATTATATCCTTAGTCCAGGCTTGTTGCGTATCTTTACCAAATAATGATAGATGCAAACCGTGTTTGCTGTATTGGAACTAAATATAAATTACAGCTTCAGATATTTTCTGACCCATTAGTACAGTTTCGTACCACCAAACTTTAAGTATTTTTCCTCAATTTACAAAGTCTTTTTTCTCAATACCAAGATTACAATTATACTGTTCTAAAGGTTAAATCGTATTACATCAGATTGCAATGATATGTTGACATAGAGGAATTTAGCATTTGGAAACATTTTTATCATAGTGGAATTTTATCTATTACAGTAAGATATTTAATTCTTAGTCCTTTCATCTTTATAAAATGATTTTGAAAAAGTCATAATTTTACTTTTGTCTCTTACTGAGCTTCTTACATGAAAAAGTACATAATCTGAATAAAAGTAATCCCAAAGCTTTTTCTCTTTCACATCTTCCCAATGACTCGTTCATGCTCAAGGCGTTGCTGTCCTGAGCTTACTTAGGTCTCATCTGGCCAAGCTGAATCTTTGATTCATTCATTTGGAACTGTTTATTTAAGACATACTTTATTCCAGCTCCAGAGGCACAATAATGTGCAAGAAAGACAGCGCCTGCCTTTGGGACTATTGTTTTGTTCTTCTACCCCAGTAAAAACTTACTGAATTGGAAAGTTGGAAAACAATGTCATAAATCAGTGGCTAGTTGCTATTAATAAATAACAAGAATTAATGTATTATACTTCTGGAAGGATACTTTGTGTCTTTAAAGGATTTCTGGAGTTAACTGTTCTTAAAGAAAACTTCATCCTCCTTTGGAAATTCTGAGTCAGTAAGTCAGAGATAAAGTATTAGTGGTTGCTCTGAAGCTTGAAAGGGTCTGTAAAAGATGGTGCTACAGGCTGTTTCTGTGCTATGTTGTTAAGTTTTTCAGCTGGTTGTAGATTGACCTTGATGATAAAGATCATTTGCTGAAACATTTTGTTCGGGAAAAGCATATTTTCTCTTTCAGCTTTGGCTTAGAATTTTTAATATATTGGACTGTTGTAAATATCTTTATCCACCTAGAACCTAGCACAATTTTTGGAATGTCACAGGCGTTTTGTTTGTAATAGCTGATTCAGAAGTCACCGAACACTTTGAAATAGATAAAAGCTCTTTAAATTACTTCCTTTTATTTGTGAATGGTAGGAGGGAATGGATCTAAAACTCTGAATAAGAATTTCCTGTATTAACTACTAGGTGAAAGTGGTTATAATTTGACAGTATGCCTTTTTCCCCCTCCCTTAACAAAAAGAGGTACGTCTTAAGTCCCTTTGTCAGGAGAGGTTTTTGCTTATTTGTTTATAATGAGAATGTGGTGTTTAGGGACATTTATTGAGGATTTACTAAGTGCCAGGTGCTGTTCTAAGCACTTCACATGCATTAACTTGCTTAATCCTCACAACACTTAGCAGGTTTGTTGCTTTAGTATCCCTATTTTTTAGATGAGATTAAGCAATTTGTCAAGCCCACACAATTAATAGGTGTAATGAAAGTATTTTGTATCTTTTAGTAGGGACTTTGGTTTGTAAGTGATCTAGAAATTTAGAATATGACTGCCAACTTAATTTCCTAGTCTTATTTCAGATAGTATACTTAAATGGAGATTTCTAAATATTTGGAATTTAGGAAGACAAGGTAAAAAAGGAGCTCAGTACTGGATAAATTTGGGAACATTCTCACAATGATTATGGGTTATGACATTTTTCACCTCTAACCATATATTGATATCCTTTTTAACAAATCTATTAGATGATGCACACTAAATCCCATTATGGTGAATAACTAATCCAGAAAATATTCATAATGAGGAGATGTTTTGGCAGATATCTGTTTTGAGTAATGTTGGAAGTCTTTTGTGCATGTGGAGGACTGAATCTTTTGAAAAAAGGAAGGTAGTGGATATTTTCTCAGATGTAAAATAATCCAGAGTTGTTCCATCAGGCGGTTTTATGGTATATAGTACTTTAAAAACTAACAACCTTCAAACTCGCTGGAGTTTTCTGCCATTTTGCCAGCTGCAGAGTTGGACAACACCAGTCACTATTAAGTGCCATATTCATTAATTGGAAGAGTCCTTGCTTATGGGAGCTATCCTGAAAGACTTACTAGATTCTGATTTTTTATCTATGTAATGTTTTCATTCCTTTATAAACTCTTTACTTCCAGCCCAATTTTTTCCATTGTCTTGATACACGTCAGCTCTGTCCAAGTTTGTTAGGGTTTCGACTAGCCAAAGAAACTTTTCATTTGCTGAAATTCTAAACAGTTAATTAAAATTAAAGCACAGATAAGGATGCTAACTTACTTTGCTATGTGTGGGAAAGCTTGATTTGACAATCATGAGCGCTAGCACCTGCATCTCACAAACTGAGAAATGAATGCAGTGTGGTACTCTGCCCCCCGAGCTTGCCCCCCGAGCAGAAAACACTGTCCACCCCAAATATTAAGCCACAGAATTATTATTAGGAGGATGATTAAGGTTATTTTAGTATATATAATAGTCATGCCACATTAGTAAAATGTTTGAAGTCTGTCAGGCAGTTACAGGATTTAGTACAGGATTTTTTGGTGTTCTGAGATTTCTAAACTAATCTTTAGTTTTACCTCAGATTATTATATATCTAATTCCAAACTTTTGGAGTATTAACAGTTCAAGGAAGATAGAGAAACAAGTCTTGGAAAACTGACAAGTTTGTCCTAACAAAGCATTCATGCTTTTCTTTTTTCCAGTAATGTGTGCATTCTTTAATTGTAGGTTGTTTCTTTTTCATTTTATCAAGTCCACTACCACATCATCATTTTACTTACTGATTTTTCTTGTTCTCAGTCTCCCCCTCTGCATAGTAAGCTCCACAAAGTAAAAGATTTTTTCTGTTCACTGCTTTTAACCTAGTTTCTAAAACAATATCTGGCACATGATAAGCACTCAGTAAATATTTATTGAATGATTACTAACTCATTTTGTTCACTCTTGTCTTTAAGATGACAAGTTTGAATCATCTGAAATCTCAGTCTCTATAGGCATTCCCTGTGAGATGGAGTCAGTTTTGCTCACCTCAAAATTCCATTCTTGTTTGAAGTGGGTGGTTCCCAGTTTTCCTTAATCCAGATTTGGTTCATCGAATGTTTCCTCATACAAACAGTAACTAGTACATTCAGTTACAAGACATAGCTCATATTGGAATATTTCTGATTTTAAATGGAGCCTGTAGTTATCTAAAGTTTAAGGTTTTGAACCTTTTAAACCTAAAGTTTAGGTTTTTGAATCTTTTAAACCTAAATGATATAATACAAATGAAGCTCAGCTGAGCTTCATTTGTATTATATCCTTAGTCCAGGCTTGTTGCGTATCTTTACCAAATAATGATAGATGCAAACCGTGTTTGCTGTATTGGAACTAAATATAAATTACAGCTTCAGATATTTTCTGACCCATTAGTACAGTTTCGTACCACCAAACTTTAAGTATTTTTCCTCAATTTACAAAGTCTTTTTTCTCAATACCAAGATTACAATTATACTGTTCTAAAGGTTAAATCGTATTACATCAGATTGCAATGATATGTTGACATAGAGGAATTTAGCATTTGGAAACATTTTTATCATAGTGGAATTTTATCTATTACAGTAAGATATTTAATTCTTAGTCCTTTCATCTTTATAAAATGATTTTGAAAAAGTCATAATTTTACTTTTGTCTCTTACTGAGCTTCTTACATGAAAAAGTACATAATCTGAATAAAAGTAATCCCAAAGCTTTTTCTCTTTCACATCTTCCCAATGACTCGTTCATGCTCAAGGCGTTGCTGTCCTGAGCTTACTTAGGTCTCATCTGGCCAAGCTGAATCTTTGATTCATTCATTTGGAACTGTTTATTTAAGACATACTTTATTCCAGCTCCAGAGGCACAATAATGTGCAAGAAAGACAGCGCCTGCCTTTGGGACTATTGTTTTGTTCTTCTACCCCAGTAAAAACTTACTGAATTGGAAAGTTGGAAAACAATGTCATAAATCAGTGGCTAGTTGCTATTAATAAATAACAAGAATTAATGTATTATACTTCTGGAAGGATACTTTGTGTCTTTAAAGGATTTCTGGAGTTAACTGTTCTTAAAGAAACCAATTTGCACAGTTCAGTTTTGGTTTAGTGTGAGGAATTTTGGAGCAGACCACCTTTTCAGTACCCTTTAGATTAAAATTTTGAGGCCCATCTATACCTGGAACTGATCTACCCTGCGGATAGAATATAATAATTCTAGTCTGATTTTTAGGCCCACAAGGGGTCTGCTGTATCTCCTGAAAATCAAAAAGAATTCTAGACACTTCTTTTTTTCCTTCTCAGATTGCCAGACTGTAACAGTGGATTTATAAAAGTGGTGTGCTCTGAATTGTTCAGCTTACAGATGAGAGAACATGTTAGTAGTTCATAATATCAAGTTGTTTGTTTTGTATGGATTATGTTATTTCTGTTAATAGTTCTGCCAAAACACGATAAAAACCTTCCCCAGATTCCCCAATCTTGTTGCACCCCTTTATGCTTTACCTTTACAATGGAAAAAGTAGACTGAAAGTATTTGTCATGAAAATTTTTTGTTATTTGCAGTTTGTAGCATGATATAGCTTTTCACCATATGGCTTTTCACAATTTTATGCATGTCTTATAGAGTAACTGTTGACCATTGTTTTGTTACTACTCATGTGTGTATATACATGCTGTGTGTGTATATATATGTAGTTTTAAAAATAAAAAGCATGCTGCTTGACCTGACTAGTTAATGTGTAATTGCACCTGGTAAACAATTTTTTTCTTTCAAATTCTGACCATAGAGGGATTGAGCTCTCTTTGCTCTGATGGGCCACGCTCAGAAATTATGACTTCTTCCTTTTTTCCATCTTCTGAAATACATAACACTGACCTTACAATACTACATGGAGAAAAAAGCAGAGTATTAGGCAGTCAACCTATTTTAGCCAAAGAAGAAGACTGCTTGGCTTCTCTAGATGTGAAAGAGATGGAAAAGCCTGAGGGAACCAATAAAGATGTAGTGGATTCCCCCTCAGTTTCTGTTACAGAAGTTGTTCACTGTAACCGTCCCTCCATTCCAGCCAGTTTCCCAGATCATCCTGCTTTTCTGTCAGAGGAAGTTGATCAAATGGAACAGCAAATAAGTAAAGATGAAGAGTCCAAGAACCCAAACGAGGTACCAAGTGGGAATAGTAAAAGTGGCTCAGGTGCTGATGACAAGTTCACTTTGCTAACAGCCCAGAAACCACACCCTCAGCCGTCTAAGGCAGAAGGCATTTGTACGTGTTCCATGTCCCCGTCTGAAGTTCCAGGAGGTGGCGTTATTGAAAAAGAATCCCCTGACTTACCATCTGAAGGAATTACTGACAAAGCAGCATTTGACAAAGAATTTAAAGATATGTATAAGGAGAGCACAAATGACTTTGATAGCTGGGCAGTGCACAATGATGGAGAATCAGCTGTAGACATTTCAGAGTCTAATGACAAACTATTTCCACTGAGAAATAAAGAGGCTGGACGTTTCCCAAACTCTGCATTGCTCACTAGACAGTTTTCACATACAACTGCAGCACTGGAAGAGGTGTCTAGATGTGTGAATGATATGCATAACTTTACTAATGAAATACTGACTTGGGATTTGGTTCCCCAAGTGAAACAGCAGAGAAGTAAATCTAACTACATCACAAAAACTACAGGACTTGATATGAGTGAATGTAAATCAGGAATTTCAGGTGTGAACCTTAAAACTAACACTCATCAGAAAATTCTGGTATGTTCTACTAATGGAAGCATTCCCATCATTAAATCAACAGGTGATTGGGCAGAAGCATCTCTCCCACAAGCAAATGTTGTCATTGAAAAACCTGTACCAAACTGTCTTGATTCCAAAAAGGAAGTCAGTGTCAAAGGTGTGCAAGGTAATGGGCAGAAACAGGATGATGCAATTTCAGAGTTACCTGGATCTCTGTTTGAGAAATGTGCCTCTTGGGGTTCTGGAGTGGCTGCAGTGAAAGTGGTTTTACCTGATGGTCACCTGAAAGGTGAAGTGAACTGGCAGAGCTCTGTGTTGGGAGAAGTGACAGAGGCTGATAGTTCTAGTGAGTCTGATGACACAGTAATTGAGGATATCACAGCAGATATTTCATTTGAAAGTAACAAAATTCAGGCTGAAAAGCATGTTTTCATTCCAAGTGCTGCTGTAAAAAGAGATGAAAGAGAAGTCAAAGATACTCTCAATTGTAATAGGGAAAACAAAACATCTGAAAACTTGGAAGGGTCGGTCAGTGACTCTGAGCCACAAGTTCAGCCTGATATCCTTGAAAGGAGTCCAGCTGGTGAGGTAGCGTGTTCACAAGTCCCTGACAGGAATGTCATGTCAGAAGATGGGAAGCAGTCAGATAGTATGAGTGAAGTCGCTCCTAAAAAGCCTGCTACAACTGAGAACCCAAAACTTCCTTCAGCAGCATCTCCAAATATTTTTAATGATACAGAAATTTCACTAAATATGACAACCCCTACCTATTTAGAGTCATCACATGAAAAAAATGTTGAAGATACAGATGATTGTTCCCCAGAGGGTCTGATAGCAACCTTTATAGAAACCAGAGAGAAAGCAATAATAGATAAAGGTGAAGGGAGTGCCTTTGAAGCAATGTCAGAGAAGACTAAAGACTTTAAAGCGTTTTCTGTAGAAGTCTTACATGAAAGTGAGTCAGGTGGTTCTAAAATTAAAGACATAAAAAGCAAATATACTGAACAAAACAAGGAAACAAATGGAAGTGAGCGCCTGGATGTTTTCCCTATTCAAGGTACTCCAGTAGCATCTCTTGACTTAGAACAGGAACAGCTCACAATCAAGGCCCTTAAAGAATTGAGTGAAAGGAAGATTGAGAAGTCAGCTTCTGCACAGGATAAAGTAGAATCTCCATCTGAAGAAACACTGAAGCTGACTTTAACATTTGCTCCAGAACCTTCTTGGCCACAGAGATCATATGATGTCCTAGAACACACAGATGTCAAGACTGGATCTAGTCTGGGGATTTGCAAGAAGCCCACTGTTACCAAAGAAAGTACTAGAGTAGATATTATTTCCAGCCTTAGCAAGACTGAACTGGTTAACAAACATGTCCTAGCAAGACTTCTAACAGACTTCTCAGGTAACCATTTACATTAGAAATACTGCATGTGGCTAATTCTGCTATGATTAATTACTGATCAGGGTACCATTTCTCTTACTTTGGTGGTATCAGAGACTTATATGTAGAATAAAGACACCCTGTATAATGGAAAAAGGTAGATTTTTTTTTAATGGGTGCTTGATTTGGTTTTCTTATACATGTATTTCCCAAAGCAGTAAATCACTTAAAATTAATATTCTTCTAAAAAAAATTTTTTATGCTCCACTTGTTTCAAGGGTCTCTCTCCTTAGAGGTTGGACCTAGGGTGGTTGCTCCTTTTAAGAATATCATTAGACATTTATTTGCTTTCTTACAAAGCTTGTTTTAAATCTCCATAGTAATAGTGCTGCTTAGCACCTAGGTTTTCTTGCTATGGGCTTTGTGAAATTTATCTAGCAATCAAAGATAAAGGAATTCCTGCTGGGAAAGACAGTAAATGAAACTTTTAATTAATTTGATTTTATACCATAGAGATTTTGTGCTTTGAAAGTAGGTAACTGGTATTGTAGTACTATTCTGTGAGTAGTACAAGAACTCATGCATTCTTCTACTTTGGACCTCATTTAATATTCTTCAGGCCAAAACTCATGATACTAGAGCCCCTTCTCCTTGTCTTCTATTTATTTGAATGGTTACTTTCTTAGCAGTTGGCCTTCAGTTAAATTGCTGCAAATGCTGTCTGTTCTGGGGTCTTGGAAAGTGTTAAGAAAAAGATATTTAAAGCCCTAGAAAGGACACCAACCTCTAATCTGATAACAAGTTCTGCACTTACTATATAGTAAGTGTTCATTATTATATAGGGATCTGTGGTTTTCCAAACATTTTTTGAAAATAGGTCCTTTTTTCAAATGGAGTTATATCCAGAGTTATAATATTTAAAACAAAAATGAAAGTTTTGATAGAATAAGCTTGTAAATATGATTATACCATTTACTTTTTTTTTTCTGTAAAGGTTTCATGAAGCACAGAGTGGGGAGGTGGCTCAGTTCTTTTTTTTTTTTAAGGTATTATTGATATACACTGTTGTGAAGGTTTCACATGAAAAAACAATATGGTTACTACATTTACGCATATATTATCAAGTCCCCACCCATACCCCAGTGCAGCCACTGTCCATTAGTGTAGTAAGATGCCACAGATTCACTGTCTTCTCTGTGCTACACTGTTTTCCCTGTGACCCCCCACACCATGTGTACTGAACATAATACCCCTCAGGGGCTCAGGTCTTAGAAGCCACTTTCCTTGCATCAGTCAGAACACTGCTTACCTCTTCCTATGGGGGCACCACTCATAAAGAGCAAAGCACATGCCTCCCGAATCTTCTGAACTAAATTGGTGTGCTTGGTGAGGTGCCTGCACTGGTGGCTAGGCCTCCGCTTGCTCACGTTCTTCATCACCGTGCGGCCCTTGTTGGGGCCCACAGCCACAGGGTGCCTCAGAGCCATGGCTGCTACGGCAGAAAAGCATCATTTACTTTTTTTTTGAAGGCATTTCCTCACTGAAGACCATGAGCAGATTATTTAATCTTCCTAAATTTTAATCCTTATAATAGAGACAATAATTTTGTACATACTTTGTGCTTAATATTATGAGGATTAAATGTGAAAATGCAAGTAATACAGTGCCTGTCACATAGTAAATACTCATTTAGCACCAAGTACAGGACCTAGCATATAGTAAATACTGGATAATTATTTGATGATTGATTGTTAACTAAGTGAATGAATTGTTAGTAAGTATCAATGAAAATATTGAGGCTTCTTTATAAACTCAAAAATTTGAAATGGCAGTTAAGGATAGCTATTATACTCTAGTAATTGAAGATTGATAAATTTGGATTATAGAGTGGTAAATTCTAGATGCTTTACTGTGTCTAGGAGTGTGACTTTGAACAATTAAGTCACATCATCTTTTGGGGCCTCAGTTCCCTTATTTGTAAGGTTAGGATGTTGATATAGATGATCTTCAAGATCATTTCAATAATAGGATTCTCTGACCTAGTATATTCTAGGTTTCTTGCTGAGTTGTCATAATTCTTACAGATAGTTCTCTTTGAGTGATGAAGCATATAGGAATTGGGCTACAAGAACTTGTGTTTAATTCTGGCAAATTCCTGCTTTAGTGTGACCTTAGACAACTAGCCTAACTGGTTCAGCATCTTCCTTTGTTAATATGATGATAATTATTTTGCCCTGCTTTGTCATGTGGTAGTAAGTAAAGCTGTGTAAATACTAATTATTAGTAATTCTCAACTGAGTTATTTAATCTAGTATGAGAGGTGAAAAGGACTATGGAAGTTTAGGATATTTGTCACTAGTTTTATTCCCTTTATGATGACATTATAGTTAGTTGTTTGATGATTACAGTATGATCTGTGGTATGACTAATCGTTTGGAAAAAAATTAGATCCCTACATCATAGACCTCATTGGGTGAAAACAGTTTTTTGTATCCAGATTGACAAGAAGACAAGGAAATAAGCAGATACATAGTTTGGTGTTAGGTATTTAAATTGTTACAACTCTTCTAGAAGGCAGTTTAGTAACATGTAACAAACACCTAGAATTGACCTAGCAATTTTGTTTCTAGGAATTTATTCTGAGGGGGGAAAGTGTGTAGAAACAGCTACAACAATGTTCTTTGTAGGTCTATTTAGGATAGTGGCAGATATCTGAGTGTCTTAACAATTAGAGATTGGTTGGGTGTGTTATATCTGTGCAATCGAATATTATGTAACCATTAAAGTTATAGTTTTTTTTAAGAAATAAAAATATAGAAAAGTACAGAAAGATACACACGTTAATGTAGAATTAAATTTTATTAATTGTTAACATTAGTGGTCATGTTTGCTTCTAAACTAAAAAGGACCCATTGGTTACTTTTCCCCCTGACCTATTCCCTTCTCCCCTTCCCCAGAGGTAACTACCATCATGGACCTGATAACAAGCCTTCCAGTCAATTTAAAAGTGTGTGTGTATATACTACTATTTTGTGTTTTTAAACCTTTATTAGTATTATTTTCTTTGTTACACAACTTGTTTCATTCAGCATTAGGCTTGTTAACTCCTTTCATGTTGAAATATATATATATAATTTCAATGAAATGAATATTCATTTTAACAGCCATGTAGTCATTTTATTACTATGTTATTATTTCCCTTTGATTAGGATTTGGGTTATTTTCCATTTTTTACTATTATAGTGCTGAAGTTAATATCCTTTTACTTGTCTATTTTTACATATATGCAAACAACCCTCTAGGATCATAAATCATTTCACTTGTAAGTATGTGCATTGTGTTTCTATTACTGTCAATTTGTTGTCAAGAGTTTTTGCTGTTACGTGAAAATGTTAATATATAAAACTACATTATTGAACACCTAGCAGAGTTTGTTATGAACTGCTTAAAGTAGAAAAAAATAAAGTTAGAAAACAAGATATTCAGAATAATCCCTATTTTGGTATCATTAAAAATGAATATGTATACCTGCACACAGTGAATCTGAAGTAAAATTTTAAAAACAAGGTCACGGTGTTTTTTTCTTGCAGTATGTTCAAATAGGCTTTTATTGGACTTGACCTTTCTGCATACAGCTATATGCTCTGGACAGAATTGAAAAAACAAAGACCTGAAGATACTGAAAAATGAACAAAAGCAGGCAGATTCCGAAAAAGGGCTGGCACTTAAGAAACAGCATGGAATTAATCTTCCATTTGTACTGCTTTATAGTCAGAGGACAGGCTGAAGTTGGCACCTGGCAGACTAGCTAAAACTTTCATAGCAAACTTAACCAGAGGATAGAATTTGGGTCAGCCACTGGAGAGTGAGGGTAAGAGCTCTGGAAAGGTGAGATCTGGAGAGTGAGAGCCTAAAATTCTGTGTACAAACTATAAAAACCTCTGCTTAATCCCTGAACCACACATGGACATAGATGACTCCACAAGTGGCCTAACTAAAGATAAGAATTTACCCAGGAAACAAGAGTTTGCAGTTTAAGTCCAGCCTAATTTAATTGCATATTGAAACAGAAATATCAATACTCTCCAGTGTAATATAACAGACTCCAGAGGCTGTACAACATAATATACACAATGTCCAAGATACAATCCAAAACTACACAACATTTAAAAACCAGGAAAATATGACCCAGTCTGAAGAAAAAAGACAACCAACAGAAACTAACTTCTTATGTTAGAATTCAGAGAAGGGTTTTAAGGCAGCTATTGTAACTGCTCAGTGAAGTCAAGGAAAGTATGTTTGCATTGACTGAAAAGAAAGGAAATCTCAAATAAGAAAATGAAATTTAAAAGAGCCATGTGGAAAATCTAGAACTGTAAAATACAGCAGCTGAAATTAAAGTTCACTGAGTGGCCATAACAAAATAGAGATGGTAGAGAAAGAGTCAGTGAACTTCATAGATGAACAGAAAACTACCCAACCTAAAGAGTACAAAGAAAAACATTACTGAGCTTCATGGACCTTTAAGACAAGATTTAACTCATACAACTAGAGTCCCAGAATGAGAAGAAAGTGAGAGACTGGAGAAGAATATATTTGAAGGTGAAATGGCAAAAAAACAAACAAACAAAAAAAAAAAACTCAATTTATGAAAAACATTTACCGATAAAAGGAACTTAGCAAACATCTACTAAGATAAGGACAAACAAAACCATACCTTGGTACATGTGTCAGGGGTCCTCAAAACTGCCTTCAGGTTCAATGACTGACCAGAAGAAGGACTCATAGGATTCAGAAGCTATTATACTCACAGTAAACAGTTTATCCTAGCAAAAGGGCACAGGTTACAATTGGCAAAGGGGAAAGGCACATGGGATAAAAATCTAGGAGAAACCAGGAAGGTGTGAGATCCCAGGTGTCCAGTGGTCACATAGATGTCCTTAATTTTCCCATCAGTGATGTGTGGCAGCACCTGCAAAGTGTTGGCAACTAGGGAAACTCACTCAAACTTTGGTGTCAGC